GCTTCCTGCTCAGCAGGGAGCCCGATGTGGGGCTCGATCCCAGGACCCTGGGACCATGACCTGAGCCGAAGGCAGACACTTAACGACTGAGCCACCCAGGTGCCCCAGCCTAAGATATATTAAATGAAAAACACAAGATACAGAGGAGAGTAGGAGAAAGTTCATTTGCATTTTTAATAAATGAAAAGGAGAAAAAAATATACATAAGCACAGAAAAATTCTGGGAAGCTACTCAAAAAAACTAGTAAATAGTGACTGCCCTCTTAAGAGTCCAAATGGGAGGCAGGTAGAGATGGGAAAGGGCATTGGGTTTTTTTGTTTTTTACTATTTGAATTTTTCTTTACTATCTGAATTTTTTTCCCCAGGCACATATAATTTTGACAACTCTTTTTTAAATGAATTCGACAAAAGATCATCTCCACTAACACACACTGCACAATAAAGACACAAAGTTCAAGGCAGGTTTTTTTTTTTTTTCAAATATTTACTGAACACAAACACCATTTTTTTCCTTTTACACAGCAATATTGTTAGTTTCAAATTAGCTGGACTATTAGGACTGTCAATTGCCACGAAATTAAAAATAATTCTACATGTCAAACTCAAATAGAAAATGTCATGCAATATATAAATCACTAACAGACCTCTGGTGCAGTCAGGAAGTTTACTATGTTTATTAAATTCACGTAAATGGTTTGACAAAAGTGCACAATAGAATGACATCACTGGTTTGTTATAAATCACAGTGAATTACTAGAATACAACGTCGTTTTTCTACACGAAGTATTACAGGATGGGGTAAATATTAAAAAGGATAGGATCTTTTCAACACATTAGGGCCAGTCAGATTTTACTCCCCAACTATGTACCTCTGAAAAGATTGGTTAGCAAAGCTGAGGAGTTTTCCTCATCTTTTCTCCTCTACCAATTACTAATAAGCCACAACAAAAAAAGCCATGCACAAATTTTACAACACCTGATAAAAAAAAAAAATACAAAACCTTGTTTACTTTATCACTTGGCAAAGCTTGCATCTTCGCTCCTTCATTTTTCTGATTAGGCCACTCATCATATGACTCACCCCTAAATGAAAAGCTGTTAATAATTTAGCAATACTCACCCCTGCACACACATCAAGATACGCTCCCCATAACCATCAAGTCAGTGTCCCTTCCCTGCACATTAACACAAATGAACACACCACAAACCTAGGACTAGAGACCACATTTACTTTACAGTTTTAAAAATTAATACATCTATCATCACTATCAGTGTATTTATGACAGAGCCCATATTTGGGAGAGGGGATGCTGTACATACAACCCAGCCCATCTGAGGATTCAGGCAAATCTGCCAGAAATGTATGAGAAAGCCCTGCGATGTACCATACATAACCAGGAGCTTTCTACCTTCCAGAGAGGGTACCCAGAGCAGAGCCGTGCCATTTTCAGAGTAGGAATAAACACACAGCTTAACATCTTATGGACTAGGAACTTTTCATAGAACAAAAGGCAGAGTTTTGTTTCCTTTAATCCATTTTAACGTTACAGCATAGTCAGTCAGGAAAACAGAAGAGTCATCTGTACATAGATATACCTGGCTAGCCTAAAAAGGAACATGTAAGATTTTTACAGAAAAGCTACCATAAAAACAAGTCCTTTACTATACTGTTATCCATCTACTCACTAGTTCAATCACTGGCTGCTTCTAAACCCAGCAAACTGTAAGCCGAGCTCCAGCAACTCACTCCCCACCCCGCCCCATTACAAAAAAGAAATGTTTCTGCGTGAATAATCCAAAATGGTCTTATCCATAAAGTAGCTGCCTCAAACTGCAGTGGAGACTGGTGACGGGGTGTTGTTCCCTTGGGATCTGAATTTTTAAAAACACTTGCCAAATGCAGAGTTGATACTTAGGGAGCTGCTGCTCCCAAATCATGTTACTTCAGACAGTGCTATCGTACCTAAGTTTCTCATAATTATCAGTTATTAATCAACTATCAGTATAATGCAACAAAACCCTTCCCAGAAATGAGCAAGACCAAAGACTGCCTTTTGGTTGGTTTGTTTAAAGTTCCCACAGCAAAGAACCTTAAGGTAGTTGGACTGTGGCCTGCTAGAGCCGCCCAGGGTAGACTGAAGAAAACTATGTTGTGTCAGAGTTCTCACATCAAAAATTTCCCCCTTCTTTATCAATTGAGGGGATGGATTTGCTGCCTTTTCCTTGAGTTAAATAGCTACCTAAGTTCAAGAGTTCAATTTCACCAACTCCATTAAAAGTATAAAACCCACCTAGGTTTCACATGGTTTGCCCAGGTAGGTATTCATCCACCTAGGCCTCTAGTTCAGCCAAATTTGTAGGACAATTACTGAGCAAGGCAAAGAAGTTTTGACCGAATTTGTAGTATCAAGGAAGACTTACAATCCGAAGCATATTTCTGCCAACAATAAACAGAAAGTGGCTGGAAATGGAGACAGCCTAGAGTTCTCAGTGAGCGGAAATACAGATTATCTTTCTTACCGATTTATTTTCCTTAAAACACACACACACGCACGCACGCACACACAAAACAAAACAAAAAAAACCTTAAGCTTGGGAAGGATTTGGCTAAACGTATTTAAAATAATTCTACCAAAACAAATAAAAAACAGGCATGTAGATCACTTGTTTCAAGAATGGTTTTATACAGATGTTTCACAATACATACTTGGATTTATTTTACAAGACAAAATTAGATCCTTAGCAATAGAGTGCACAATGTACTACTATACTATAGTAAAAAAATTTGTTACCATTAGCAGAGTTCATAGTTTATTCCACTGTCTTCAAATTCTTTCTCCAACTGTCAGCATTTCAATCAGCAGTTCTACTTTCTCCAGCATTCATCCCTTCTCAAAAACACTGTCATTAAATTTTGATGTCTGAATATGTACATATAATCATTATCCTCATTTTATAAATAAGCAATATTTAAAATAGCGTTGGTCCTGGGTAGCCAAAGGGATGAAATGGTTTTTAAAACATGCAACATTATCTGATATTTTAAGTCTTGGTGTTTAAAAATCATACATTAATAATGGAACCAACTGAATACCAAGTATCACAGCCACTCCTCGGACTATCAAAGAAGCGGGCCTCGTAGTCTGAAAAACACAGGGTCTGATCTAAGCTGTGGAAAAGGCGGGATTCACTCACCTTGAGGCCATGGCATTTTCTCTTTCAGGCCATGAGAGTTGCCAAGAGCAAGGTACAGTGTTTCCTTGGTTCATACCAGGAGGAGCAAGGTCGGTAATTTTCAAATTAGGCCTCATTCAAATACCTCCCCCTTTAAACCATCCTAAAAACCTCAGGTTAGGTAAACAGAAATATATTACCATGACAGAATTTACCATCAAAACATTCCTAGCTGAAACAAGAAGAACATGAAGAATTAACTACAGTAGCTGTAAAAGTATCTTGCATTCTTGGGGGAAAAAGTTTTTAAGCTTCCCACCTGCCATTCCCTCCCACCCTTCAAACTATTTCATTTCATGGGGTAACTATTTAAGGCCCTAGGTGCTAATTTTGGCTTGGTCATTACTACTGATCCAAATGCAACCCTTCTCTTATACTTCACAAAACAATACGCATACATAAAATGATCACTGAAACCATACAAGTTTGGGGGGGGGTTGTTTCTGGGTTTTTGTTTTTTTTTTTAGTTTATATCTGATGTTACTACATAATAATGCTTTTTATTAAAGAAAAAAAAGCTGCAGGTCTTCACTTACAGTACCATGCACTATGAGTAGCTAAGGCATTCATTTGGCACTAGAGAGAAAAATACAGATATAGCTAATTTTACTTAGGTGTGTACCCTTTACTTGAATTTCTGTGATGCTTAAAAGATAATCACAGAATACTTAGTCTGACAGTTAAAATGCTGCCATTAAAACAGAACAGAAAAAACACAGAGACCTCTGCATAGCCTATCAGAATCCGTGACATTTCGTGTTTGAAAAACTTGCAGCTCTCACAGAAACACCCTTCAAAGGAGCATTGCAAATTATTTTTATCATCAAAACCATTTAATTTCCTAAACCATACTAGTGATTTTTCTACTAGTTATAAGGGACAAGGTAAAGAAAGCGAAAAAATTACAAATATCCTGGGTTCCTTTTCATCCATCATAAACACCTTATTAGGCGGACACAAACAATGCCCTCTGGAAAAGCAGTTTCCAAATTTTAGAAGAGACCACACAGGAGGAAAGGGAGAAAGGGACAAAAAATAGAACACATTAACTATATTATAACAATTTGTTTCATAAGAAAACACAGCATTCATAATTTTTACATGTCTGTGAGCTGAGTCAAATGCAGACTGCTGCAATTTAGAGAAATTACATTAAAACAGACTTCAAAGAATTTTAGAATTTAAGCCTAAAGGCAAGTAGTCCATCAATATTCTCTGAAAAATTGCTTTAAGATTATTACTACTTTGTATATACCACCCAGCATAATGCAACAATTTCAATGGATTTAACTTTACAAATGTGTAACTATTATTAAATTAGCACATTTTCAGATTAATCTGCAGCTGTATTTTTTTGTAGAAATCCTCCTGATGTTATAATGTGTTTTATCACTCCACATAAATATTCGAAGAGCGAAAACTACCTGCAGCAGTTTGGCATGTGCAGAACACCTGGGTATCCCGTTACTTTTAATGGTCCTTTTTAGTTGTTTTTCTTCAGGAGATCCTCAAAACTGCTGCAAGGATAACACACTGACACAGGCTTAACAGAAATACTTTTTTGTAAGCAGTTTTTTAAAACACTATCAACTTCAAATCATAAATGTCCCTTGTTACATAAACAAAATATTTTATACTCATTCCTTAAAAAAAAAATACAAATGTCGAATCATTATGTTGTACACCTGAAACTGATATAACGTATCTCAATTATACCTCAGTAAGAAAGAAAAAGACACAAACCGAAGAAGAAAAAAAAGTTAAGTGACCAATATCCAGATACCTTATAGTTACACCTAAACAATGTGGCTTTGTTTAAAGTGTATTTGAAATTAATAACCGTTATAAGGCAAAAAGACCAAATACAGAACTAAGGAAGGATGGGTAGGGAGGAAGGGTAGTGGAAAGAAAAGTAGAATTTACGAACACATAATTCTATTGTCTGTGATTAAAGTCCTTTACTTTTAGCACCACATTAAACGATTTTACATATCCAGTCACTTAATGAAATCCAACAAACTCTTCAAGAGTTCTGGGGATCTGGTCTTGGTAGTTAATGTCATTAGCCCGAACTGCTCGGGCAGCCAGGCACTTGAGACTCATCTTCATTTGAGTTTTAAGTAGTATTTCAGATACCCCAGTGGTACTTTTGTCTAGTGGAGTCTTATTCTGTTTATTCGTCATGTCAGTGTGAGCGCCAGCTTCAACCAGGCTAATGATGATAGAGTGCAAGGTTAAAAAATCACTGATTGGCCTGTTGTACTGAACGATAATGTGAAGGGCACTGTTCCCCTCATTGTCTACAGCATTCACCTCAGCACCACAGTCCAGCAGCAGCTTTGTGACGAGTGCATTTGGAAAGCTGCAGACATCATTGGTGTGGAAATCATCAACCGGGGTATTCGAGTTGACAGCTAGATGCAGCAAGGTGAAACCTTCCCGAGTTCTGGGATCAAGGTGAATCAGGTTGTAGATCTGCTTGTTAATTTTGCACTGATCTTCTTCACTGCACTGTGTTTTGGTGGAGATGCACACTAAATAGAGAAAGGTATAGAGATTACATTCATAATTGTCCATAGCATTGTGGACATCAGCATCTGGAATATTTTTTACTCTGTTCATACTCTGTTCTATTTCCAAAACACTGCATCTCAGAACACATTCTATGTCTGGGGCCTTCACAGTTTCATTCAAATGTATCATCTGTGAGAAAACTTGAGCAAATCGAAGAAGATCCTTGTGGGTGTTCCTGTTACCTTTCTGTCTCAGGTGCAGGGCATGCAGCCACAACTTGATACACTGTTCGAATTCCATGTTATCTGCATAAACAGCTCCCCTGTAAATGATGGGATGGGAAACATCAATATTGTCAGCACCTAAAATCCGTTCCCGAACTATAAGGCCTTCCATATGAAGAGCATCTCTGTCTTGCCGAATGGATTCCAGTTCCTGAGGATTTCTACATTCAGTTCTATTCCCATAAGCATGGATTGGTGGGAGAACCTCTTTCTCCAGAATGTTATCACCATCTTGAAACCTCTCCAACATGGCTAAATATAAATAGTGGTACGTCTTCATGATGTCATAGTTCTCACGGTCATTTGCGAAGGAGGCACCCAAGAGTTCCAAAGCTTCAATCCGACTTCTTCGGTCACAATCAGCATGAGAGAGCAACAGTTCGACGACATCGGCTTTACAGCTTTCGGCAGCTACTTTTAAGGGCGTCATCCCATGGCCATTCACTACTATAGCAGCACGCCATTTTATCAGCTCTTTCACGATATCGATATGCCCGGCTTCAGCCGCAAAGTGCAGTGCTGTGGCCCCACAATGTGCTTTAGCATTGGGATCAGCACGCTGTTCTAAAAGGTATCTGACCACATCGGTATGGCCCTTATATGCTGCAATCATCAGGCAGGTGTTGTCGTATTTGTTGGCAATGCTGATGTTGGCATTATTTTCAACCAAGTATTTCACAATGTCCAGTCTGCCGTCAAAGCATGCTGCCCGCAGGGGGGTTGAGTTGGTTACTGTGGTGTGGTTCACGTTGGCTCCATGGCTGACTAAAAGTTTAACGACTTCAAAATGGCCGGCTCCTGCTGCACACCAAAGAGCGGTGGCACCGTCAATGACATACCTATTCACGAAAAGAACAAACAGTTAGAAAATGGAGGCCACATGCCCTAACATAAGCGTAAAGAATGGATTCGTTTGCACTGACCAAAACCTCAATCTGTGGAACATGAATACAACATTAGTGTGGGTGAAAATAAAATCAGGTCACTTAGGTAAAGCACTCTGCCATTGTACTTATACCCAGCAGAAGCTCAAGAAACGTTAGCTATTACTGTTATTGCTGAAGTATATAATCCTAAAAAAAAAAAAAAAAAATCACCAACTTTCTACGAGCAAAAGTAAATACATTTCTGAAAACACAGAGGAAATGCATGGAGGTTCATAACTTCTTTACCGCCAAGCTGAGGCACTGGCTCTTAAAGAAAAACATGTTCTTCCTTCCCAGTATCCCCCAGGTACCAGTTACTCTCAATAGGCCAGAAAGAAAGCTACCCCAGTCCCTACAGTAACACTGTCGTAGAAACTCCTTTAGGAAAAAAAGTATTTACTCAGATAATTGTCCCCTAAGATTATCTAAGCTAATCAAATATACTTCTACTACAGCCATGAGAATGAAAAAATTCCTGCTCCACACAGTAGGGAGGGATCACATAAACATGATGCTGAGCAAAAGCAGTCAACCGAACATAGTACATATTATATTACTACATTTATGTACCTATCTGTAGTGCTGAAGTTGGGATACTGTTTACTTTTAAGGGGAGTAGATAGTGGGAGGAAGCACAAAAGGAACTTTATTAAACAAATATATTCACTTTGTGAAACTTTTATACGCTTTCAATTAATGTATTTTTCTCCATCCATTCTACTCCAATTTAAAGGTCTTAAAAATATGTATGGATGTGTGTGTGTATTATGGGTCTATGTACGTTCCTCAGCTAAACCACTGGGGGAAAATACTAACAGGAGGAAACAATTAGCGCTTTCCTAAAACCAAGTGGGCATTTTTCCTGACCTTCGTCCCATGTTTGCACTCACAGTCACCGCTTACTGTCTGATACGCACTAGGTTTGCTACTTATAATAGAATTAGACTCTTGCTAGGAGGCCAATCTTTCCCACCTTTCTACCTCCCATTTTTCCCCAGCCTCAATTTTTCAATTGTTTATCCTGTTACTGACCGTCAGACCTACAAAGTAGATTTTTGCTGCAGATACTTAGATATACTGTGCGTGAACCACTAAAATAAGTATACTTGCAAGTATTAAGGAAAAAGGTCAGTCAAAAGCAGTATTTACTAGAGCAATTAAGTATTCGTACCAAAACCTCACTGCCGAGCTTCTCACTATAACACCTAATGTTATAACACAGGTCAAACTGTATCTCCCATGAAATGAAACAGTATAATCCCCTGGTAGAATATAAATATCATAGTTTAACCCCAATTAACACCCCCAAAACACCACCGTCTGTTGTTTCTGCTGAAAACAAAAGACCCACTTTATAATAATTCAAGCAGTTACTTCTTCAGTTTCAAACAATGACACAAAATGACACAAAAGCCTTCTCACTAACAAGTACCTATGGAGTTACCTACAGGAAAGGGTGTAGGACTAACTGGGAAGAGGCGTAAAGCTATTGGAAATGTCCTAAATCTTGATACGGGTAGTGGCTGCATGGGTGGATATTTAGGAAAATTACTCACTACACTGCACACTATGCTTAAAAATTAGGGAAGTAGCATAGATCTATATGAAAAGCAAAACCATAAGAGTTACTTAAAAAAAAAATAAGTAGACAATCTTCATGACCTTGGAGTTAATGACTATTTCTTAAACGGAATGCAAAAAAAGCACTAATCATAGAAATAGTTGATTTACTGAACTTCATTAAAATTAAGAACTTCAATTCATCAAAAGATATTATGAAGAAAGTGAATATGCAATCCACTCACTGGGAGAAGACATATACATTAAAAGTATTTGACAAATCAATGAGAAAAAGGCAAACAACCCAACTAAAAAATGGGTGAAAAGACTAAACAACTAAACTTCACAAAAGATATTCAAGTGACCAATAAATATATGAAAAGATGTCCAAGATAATACTGGAGAGGGAAAGGCAAATTAAAATCATGAGTTACCAATACACAGCCACCAGAATAACTAAAATTAGTAAGACTGACATGACAGTACTTAGTGTTGGCCAGGAGGTGAAGCAACTCAAACTCTCGTTGCTGGTAGGAATGTAATTTGTTTCAACCACTTTCAGGAAAACTGTTTAGCAATAACTATTAAAGTTAAACATACACCAACCCCATGACCCAGCAATTCCACTCTTGGGCATATATTGACAAGAAGTGAACACAAACACCCACCAGTGAAGACGTATACATAAAAATGTCCACAGCAGTTTTATCCATAATAGTTAAACACTGGAAACAACTAAAATACCTGTGTACAGGGTAAATAAGTTGCCATATATTTATACAATGGAATACTACAAAGCATAAAAAAAAAAACTACTGATACACGCAACTGCACAGATGAATCTCATAGACAATGTGTTAAGCAAAAAAAAGCCAGACAGAAAAGAGCATACTGTATGATTCCCTTTATAGGAAGTTCAAGTATAGACAAAACTAATCTATGGTGATAGAAGTCAGAATAATCATTACTTCTGGGACAGGAAAGGAGAGGAGCTGACTGAGAAGGGGCACAAGGGAAACTCTGATAAAAATATTCTGTATATTGATCTAGGTGTTTACATGGATGTAAACATATTAAAATTTTATCACATCATACACTTAAAATTTATGCACCTTACTAGATGTTATACCTTAACTAAAAATAGTCATAATTAAAAACAAAAATGAAAAACAATTAAAGAAAAACAGTTTAAATGAACACAAATAGCTAATAAGTATCTTCAATGTGCCAAGCATTCATTGTAGTAAGTGCTCGATATGCAATATATCTCATTTAATCCTCATAATAACCTCCTCCCAATAACCCTATGAGGTTGACACTATTATTATGCTCATTTCACAGATATATAATTTAAAAGGTTTACATGAGATTAAAATACAAAAGTACTCTAGTACATAGTACTCTATATATTAAGGAAACATAATACATGTCATTGTTCAGTTTCAATTTAAAAAGCATTTTTTCAAAAAAATAAATAAAAAGCATTTTTTCAAACTAATTAATCTATCAAAAATACATAGTAATATATAGTTACATTTTCATAGTTAAATGTTTCCTTGCACTTTAAAAATATGAAGTTATTATATGTCAGGCACATGAACCCAAACCATATAAAACTCAATCTTCATGACCTTGGAGTTAATGACTTAATATTTTAATTTACATTAAAATAGGCATTCACATAGTCTTTTTAACTTTCACAATAACCATAAAAGATAAATATGACCCCCATTTTAAAGACGAAAAAAAGAGACAAAATATTTTTCTCACCTCACGTTTCCCAGAATTAATGATGTAGACGAGTAAAAATTAAATTACAAGTATATATTTCACTTGGTTTTTGTACAGTTTAATACTTTTGTGGTGTAGCCTAATCACTTCCATTTTTCCATATAGTGATGTGACAGGAGCCTCAAGAAAGTTTCAATTATCTACTTTTATTGAGGCAATTAAAGTTTTTAAATAGTTTAGGACAAAAATATTCACTGCAGAATGTATTAGAAAATGACTAGTCCTTCAGAAACATCAGCCTTAGCAAATTTTGAATTTCTACATCTAAACAAAAACATTAAACAGATTAAAGGGAATAAGCCTAAAATCTATGACATTCCTTTGTCCACAGACTTCAGCTGAAATAAGCAGCACAGACTTCCTCAAAACAACATACCAAACACGTTTATAACAGAATATAAAAATATGATAAAATTAATGCAATATGTACTTAGTCCCTATGGGAGAGGTACTATTAAACAATGATCTTTCTGGACTCGGTCCAAAATTGCAATGCAAACTATTATGTATTTCATTTTAGAAACTCAAGAAACCGGGGGGCACCTGGGTGGCTCAGTTGGTTAAGCATCTTTTTTTTTTTTAAGATTTTATTTATTTATTTGAGACAGAGCGAGAGAGTCAGAAAGAACGAGCAGGGGAGGGGAGATGAGCAGAGGAAGAGGGAGAAGCAGGCTCTCCACTGAGCAGAGAGCCCAATGCAGGGCTTGATCTCAGGGTGGTGAGACTGAGCCCTGCCTGGGGCTCCAGGCTCAGTGCAGAGTCTGCTTGAGAGTCTCTGTCTCCCCCTCTCCCACTGCCCCTCCCCCCTAACACGCAAGAACGAGCTCCTGCGCACTCTCTTTAAATAAATAAAATCTTTAAACGACAACAACAAAAAAAGGATCAAGAAACCGGGGCACCTGTTTGGTTGAGTTGTGGAGTGTATGACTCCGTACCTCAGGGTTGTGAGTTCGAGTCCCACACTGGGGGTAGAGATTACATTAAAAATTAATTAAATAAATAAATAAAATAAAAATAAACTATAACTTGATATTCACCTTTTTAAACAAAATGTACACATCAGACGATGGAAACATTTCACAATAAAAGATAACATTTCTGATCACAAAACTAAGCTCAAACTATTTCCTGGTTCAATTTAAAATAAAAATGTCTGGTCAAGTATTTGAAATGGAAATAAAAATTCATTAAATGTAAATGATCAACACTTTATTTTAACCAAAGTCCTTAAAATCATTTATTAGATCAAATGTAGTTTCTTGAAATATATACTGCGTGGCAGTGACTTTTAAGTGAAGCCAAATGTTGATGTGCCCTTCATGCCTTGTTCTCTACCTGAACATTAAAAGTATTAGTACTAGTGCCAACTTTAAAAGAGAACTCAACAAAAAGCCTCAGAACTCCCAGAGGTCCTGTTCTCCTTCCCATCCCTGTCAGCAAACCTCTTTTAGGACAAGGGTTCCCCCACAAACTCCGGCACGGAGCTGTCAGGCCTTAGGAACTTAGGCCAGCACACTATTCCACGGTCACAGGACACCTCGCCTTTGTTCTGTTCCATTTCTGTAACATTCTCAACAGTTTCCCATTCTCCAACTAAAGGTTCCTTCATTTCTACTCAAGTAATTTTTCTTGCCCCCTTGTCTGTCACTTTTAGTCTTCACATATTAAGCCATAAGTAAAATCATCTCAAATGTTACTCTTAAAAATATGAACAAGGGCTCAAATATCACCATGGGGCTTGATCTAGGTAGGTAGTCCCTTCTTCCTTGAGAATGTGTTATGAACCCACTTGAGTTTCTTAAAGTATTACAGAAATTTTTAGGCAGAACATAGACTTTTACAAAATTTCTAATAAGCTATTTATTTTAATGTCTCTCTCTCACACACACACATATACACACAAATCATTCTATATCAAACCCATAATTATATACAGATAACTGTTGCTTAGGATGAAGCTAAGAAGCAAAACTTTTAGGATAGGTAATCAATAAATCTGACAAAAAATTGTGAGGGTGGGGGCACCTGGGTGGCTCAGTCGTTAAGCGTCTGCCTTCGGCTCAGGTCATGATCCCAGGGTCCTGGGACCGAGCCCCACATCGGGCTCCCTGCTTGGCGGAGGGCCTGCTTCTCCCTCTCCCACTCCCCCTGCTTGTGTTCCCTCTCTCGCTGTCTCTCTCTGTCAAATAAATAAATAACATTTAAAAAAAAAAAAATTGTGACGATGGTACACAGGTGACTAAAAACTAGTAAACACTGATCTACTTCAGCACACACAGAGAACCTGTTAGTCCCCACCTGGCCATGGTTCTCAAGTGCTGAAGGAATCTAAAGGGGGATTTAAAAAAAAATAAAAATAAAAAAATAACGGGGGAGTTAGCTAAGTACCTCTCAAAAAGCCAGCCCCCAAGAGGTGAGTGGGCTTCATATTGTTAACACCTCATTCAGATTATGTTCACAATGTCTGGAGTGAGAGCAAAGTGAAATCATGACATTTGCAAATAACACTCTTTTTTATCTAGTTCCGAAATGCCAAAATGACTGGAATAAACTGCAAAATATCAGTGGTTTGAGTAAGCAGAAAGGTGGCCATGAACTTCAATTCTCCCTTGTTAATTAATTGGCAAGCTCCTCAAAAAAAGCAAAAACCTGGGGCGCCTGGGTGGCTCAGATGGTTAAGTGTCTGCCTTCGGCTCAGGTCATGATCCCAGGGTCCTGGGATCGAGTCCCGCATCGGGCTCCCTGCTCCTTGGGAGCCTGCTTCTCCCTCTGCTTCTCTCTCTCTCTCTCTCCCTCTCTCTCTCTGCCTCTGTCTCTCATGAATAAATAAATTAAAAAAAATCTTTAAAAAAAAAAAAGCAAAAACCTTACATTTTTTTCTGTATCCTCCACAGAAGGTCTAATAGGGCTAGGCCCATCACGGGCATTTAATAAATAAAATTCTCCATTACCTTCACACAGCAGATAATAAATGCATAATTGTAATAATCCAGAAACAAAAAGGATAGTTTTAAGAATGCTCGGCCAAAATCTCGAATGACTGAACCGTTTGCAATTGCAGTCTCCCCAAAGGGACTCTTGATATTTTACACAACAATCATCAAAATATGGCCTCCACCTTTCTCCAGTCTCCCACAATCTTTCTTAATTTCCCCAGCTTGAATCCCTTCCTACAACCACACTGAAACACTTGTCACTGCAAGTTCACCAAGCTGTTGCTTGACCCTCTTCTTCACTTCCTTTAAGATCCAAACTCAAGCATCACCTCACCAGGGGAGCCTTCCCTGATTCCCCCCAGGCAAAGCTGAGCACTTCCTCTTCCCATACTCCCTCACTCATCCAACAGACTTCTAAAACTCTAAATGGCATGGCATCTGCAGTTACTCATTTTATGTATCTCTCTGTCTCCCCCGCTAAACTGTCTTCCTCCACAGTGGGAACAGTATGTTACCCACCCCTGCATACCCAAACCCTACCACACAGCCCAGCACACAGTAGGAGTTCAGTAAGTGTTTGCTTACTGAACCGTTTAATTTCACTGCCCAGTCCAGAATACTGGGCAAGTATACAGGCTCAATGCTATATTTCCAGTCCTTTCTAGTAATTTCAGGTTCTTTTAATTCCATCTCAAAAAGATCTTTCTCTTTGATGGTAAAAAAGACAGCAATAAGCAAAGTCTTTCCAAATGCTTTAGGAAACTTTTTTTTTTTTTCACCACTATCCTCCCCTCATCCAAAAAGGCCTCAGCAAGCTCCTTAGCTGCGATGTTTCCAGCAGCTGTTACTGAGATTCGTATCTCAGTGAATGCATGTGCCTATACAACTGGAATGGTGCTGGAAGTTCAGGGGTCATTCTGTGTCACTCCTTGTCTGGGTATAGGAAAGGCTGTGGGAATGCACGGAGTTCTAGAAAGGACAGAGAAGCCAGTAAGGGAAAGCAAACATGAATCAGGTTGCCATCTTTAATCAACAGGAAAAAGACCATCTCCTTGATGTCTAAGGAGGTGGTACCAGAGATTAACCAACATGGGCTATCGTTTCATTAAAATGTAATGCTCTAAAATATTTTCTTCTCATCTAAAAATATCTTTCTCTCATCATTATTTAAACCTAAAAGAGAACCAAATTCAACAATGCCCTAGTCATCTTCAAGAAGCGCTTTTTCAATGAGGCTTTAACCAAGCAGTTTCCAATCACCACAACTAAAGATACCTATCTTTATGCTTGGACCACATCTACCAAAAACAGAAGAAAATGCTACAACAGCTTATGTACTGGCACAAAAGTCAACAAAAACAAATGCAATCAATGAAGTTTGTAACCTGAAAAACACTTTATAATAATCCAGCACAGCAAAGAAGATGTCAAACCTGACAATTCTGTGTTAAACATTATCATACCCCCAAAATATGTATAATTAAACCTAAAAAAACAAATTTTAACTATGACAATATGAATTTTTGAACTCCCCACCTGAAGTAACATAAACTATCAAGTTTCCCCACAATATCACAAGATAATATGGATTAACAATGGCATTATCTCCAATACCAGGTCCAGGCCATTTTTGCAGCCAACCTATCTACCCCAAGCTATGTGGAAGAGTCGGAATCATGTCTAGGGATGTCTGGCCGCCTGACAATCCCTCAAGAGGCTGGATGGAGTTCTAGGGGCTTATTTTGACATTCAGGCCCCCGCAAACCCGTCTGAAGGGACCACTCACTTGAAGGAGTAAAAATTGGGTGACCAAATAACTCATCAAACAGAGGTTTTCAATGTTAACTGCTGACCGCGTTAATTTCTGATCTGGCTTACAACCCCAGTACCGGTAAGGGTAACATCTGGGAAGATGCACCTCCTCCATACTACTTGCTCACGGACCCTCTACTGAAGAAGAACACCCCTTAGATATCAAGACAGAGGGTGTGGCTATTTACCCATAGAGGGAATAAGGGGTAGGGGCCGATGAGGTTGAGCAGCAAACCACGGGATGAAGTATCAGCCGTGGAAGACGAAGTGGGCATTCATGCGGCAGGAGGATGCACAAAAGCGAAGAAGTGGTACCTCTACGGAGAGAGAGTGAAGGAGCGGAGGACCTGTGAGGTGGTAGGTCCGCGCTCGTGGGAGAGGGGCTGGGGTGTACCTACCCGTCGAAGCGGACGGTGCCAGTCTGCTGAGTCTGCACCCGGTAATGTTCTAACAGCAAGCGCACCACCTTGGCGTGCCCATTGCGGGCTGCGATGATGAGGGGCGTGGAGCGCTGCCCTCCCTGCTGGCTGACATAGCCCAGCAGATAGCGGATGTCGCTTTCAGACCGGTTGAGAAGCAAGGCGGCCAGGGTCAGCACCTTGCCCTCGCTGGCCGCCTTGTACACATAGCCAGCCAGGCCCTCCATGGCCGCCGCCAACTCCAACACCCGTTTGGTCGCCACCGCTGCTGCTGCCTTGCGCCCCCGGAGGCCGCGTTCGCCAGCGCCTCAAACCCGGGCCCTCACAGCCCATTCAACAGGGCGCCGCCGCCGCCGCCGCGCCCACGCAGCAGCGCGGCCGGGGGAGGGCGGAGACGCAGAGGTGGCCGAAGGCCGCAGGGGGCACGTCCGCGACCCGGCCTCGGCAGGGAGGAGGGCGGTCAGGGCCGCCCCCGAGGCCCCAGCCGCCGGCCCTGGGCCGAGGGGATCTCCATGGAGGCCGCCGCCCCGGGCCTCAGGCCGGACCCCTCCTTCCTGCGGGCTGCGACAAGCGCGTGCCCGAGCTACGGGTCGCCGGCGAGGTCCCAAGAGGACCGCACGCGCCCGGGATGGCGAATGCTGGGCGCGTCTCCCCCGCCCCGGCCCGCCGGGCCTAAGGCCTAAAAACTGCCTCGGCCTCCGCCTCCGCTCTGCGTCCTCCCCGGCTGGAGGAAACCCGCAGGTCCTCGCCCACCAGAGCTCAGAAGCGCCAGACGCTGCCGATGGTTTCGCAGCTCCACGCCTGGGGGCCTCCGGCGCGAGGCGGAACGCTCCCGCGGCAGCAGCCCCCGGAGTCGGGGTGGGCAGGAAGGCGCGCCTCCGCAGACTGGGCCGGGAGGGGGAGGGTGCGAGCGGGAGGAACGGTTAAGCCGGGTGTCTCCTCCAAAGCTGCCCGGCCGGCAAACGAGGCCTTGGTGAAGAAAGGTTCTACGGTGCGAAGTTGGCCCACCCCCTTTTCGGGCCTGAATGTCCTCATTGCCCTTGACGCCTGGACCGTCCTCCTCGCCCCCACACGGCCGGGGGGGTTCCCTAGCCTGGGAGGGGGCCACAGTCGGGGACCTGAGGCGATACCAGGGGTGGGCCAGGGTACCCGTCCCATTTTACCCTAGACGGTGCGGGACTCCTCTGTGCCCTGATTGGTGGTCCAAGGGAGGAGGTTGCACGCGCCCGACAAGGTCCATTTTAAGAAAAGGGCGGCGTCTCTGAGCCCCCGAAATGTGGGAGGACTTGAGGGCTGGCACCAGGCTTGGAGAAAGGATTGGAATTCCGGCCTATCCTTCTTGGAGAGAGGGGGATCGAGTGTGTGAGAAGGGGCGGGGAGAGCTGCGCCCACCGTGGGAAGGTCGAGGTATCTGGAAGGAAGGCGAGGTCTGTCTTCAGACAGACCAGGACTCTGATCCTCAGCCTGATGGAACCTTCCTTTTCTCACATATCTCTCAAGATGGTTCGGGTTTGAAGAGCTCGTTTGTCTAACGAATCCTAGAGATGTACTACGTGCCAGGCTCTGCTTGGCATTAGAGATTCGGTGGTAGACAAGATAGACACAGCGCCTTCCCCTCTGGGGCTTGTGTTGTGAGGAAAACAGGCGATAAACAAGTAAACAAATGATAGACAAGACTGGTTGAGTTCGTATCATTACCATTTGCTGTGAAGCCAATAGAGTGGGGGGTTCGCTAATCAGTTTGAGTGGTCAGGTAAGAAGAACAAAGGGTATACTAGGCAAGGTGAATAGCTAGTACCAAAGCCCCTGAGGAGGTCACAGTCTTAGTGGGCTCAGAAACAAAGGTCAGTGTGGCGGCCACAGAATGGGCCTTAGGAAGAAAGATGGGAGGCGAAGTCAGCAGGTCACTCTCCGGCCCAGTAACCCGTGTTTAAATTCTACTCTTAAGTGTGATGGGGGCATTTGAAGAGTTTTCAACAGGAAAGTGACAAGATAATTTACATTTTTAAAAAGAGCACTCTGGCTGTTGTGTGGAGAATAAACTCTACAAGGCAATGGTAGAAGCAGGAAGGCCATTTAGGAAGCAAGGTCTTGGACTCCAAGCGGAGGTGGTGCAGCTCCTGGGGCATTCATGAAATGTACAAGCTCAATAGGGAAGTTTTCCTCTGTCCCACTTATCCCCCAAAGGACAATATGGACCACAGAGAAAGAACAAATACATGTATTGGCCCCAAGGGACCAGGCTGGTCTCAACAAGTTCACATAAATTATTTTATTTGACACTCCCTCCCCCATGCCAATCCTAGTTGGCGAAGGCCTCCCCTCAGTTGCAGAGCTATTGGTGGGGTTTGGCCACTTCTCAAAAAAAATTCTCTCCTCCATCAGGCAGCTCAACTTTACCTATTGGCAGATCCCTACACGAACATCATTCCCCGCCCCCTTAGGATATTAAACAAAAACAATGTTGAAAGTGAGGGCTGAAGATAAGGTCCTACTGGTGGAAAAGAGGGGAAAGCTGGTTGGTTTCATTCTGGGGCTCTCAGAATTGGTGGACTATCCAGTTCCTGACAGGCTGATCCAGGCTTTTTTGGCCTCTAGGGACTTGGCAGTGACACATTCAGATGTGTGACCAGGGGCTCCCTTCCAACTGGTTTCCTTCCATAGCTGTGTAGAGCAACCAGGCTCCCCGTCCCTTCTCTCCCCCCTACCCAGCCTTTTGCCCTGCATCATTTTTTTTCCACCTAACTTTTAAGAAGGTGATCCAGACACAGGCCCTTTCTTCCCTTCAGTTTGTTTTCTGAGGGAGACCTGATTCGTTCTGCTATTCATCGTTGAATAAGAGATTTCCTTCTTTCTCCTCTCACCCTTGCAAGATAAACTAGGGTCCATGCTAGCACTGACACCTCAGTTTGGTGGTGTAACTGGGTGGTTGCTGGGAGAGGTGACTGGACCAAAAGTCATGTGAGAGAGGGGCTTGAAACTTGCACTGTGTGACCACGGCCCCCAGATAGGAATACGCTTCTGCTCCAGCAGTGCGAGGTCAGGAGTCTTAGGGTGCTCTTTTCTTCTATATTTATCACAGTTGCTTATTATAGGGTTCTGGACTCCCTTGGTTACTCAATAGCCACTGGCCAACTGGAGACTTATCTGGTTGCCTCTATTTACCTGGGCTTGGAGGGTGACGTTTCTGTGGTCAGGTTGTGCAAATCTGGAGAGAGGATGTGTAAACAGGACAAAGCAGCTTTCCCAAAGGCCAGAGCCCAGAAATAGCTCCTTGTGCTTCTGACCTATTCCCCACGCCCTTGACTAGAGGCTACTGAACAACTGAACAATAGTAAAATATAAGTGCAACTAGTAATATCCTGATGGAGGTCAATTTGCTGGTGACAATAAACTACAGCCTTCCACCTGGACCAAAGACAGGACTGACCTCCAGCACTTCAGCTCATGGGGATTGGGAGGAGGCCTAGAGCGGAATGGACTACACCTTCCTCCCATGGAGCAGTCCTTTCCCCAAGCCAGGTTGGCCTGACCTGATAGCTCTGAGTCAGTGGAGTTTCTCAGATTTTGTATAAAGGATGATTGTCGGCGTTGAACAGATCTGGGTCGGACTCCCTGCTCCATGGGCTAGTTGTGGCCTCGGACAAGTTTCTGCAATGGTGCTAAGAAATACTTCCCTTACAGGTCTGGTGTGATGGCAACATGCAAGCTCCTTCACCCAGCCTGGTCCTGCAAAGGAGTATGGGTCAGTACACATGAGTTTTACTTCTCCCGGTCCCCACCCAACCGTCATCCTCCGACTGTGCCATTCATCTGTTCAAGAAAGGGCTTCCCATCCCATCCCTCTGCATTTTCCCTGCAGGAATGTGTCTGCTTGTGAGAATGGAAAGTAAATCCATAGTATGCAAAGGGGTGAGGAGGCTAATTAAAAAGAGTTCAGAAATTCCAACAGAGCTGCAGAAACCACTGAGGACCCTTCCCTATTAGCCCAGAGTACTGGTGGTCCATTGGCCTTTACCTCCTCCTCCTCCCACTCCTAACCTTTCCCTGAAAAGCAGATCCGGTGATTCTCAGAAACAAAACCTAAGGTGGGAAAGTGGGGAGCCAATCTGTGTTGTTTTGTAATCCAATTCACCCCAGCAGATTTAGATTTACCAGGAGCAGATTGCAATAGACGTATGTGTCTGCTTTTCTTCTAACCCCATTCTTCCCTGAATCGTGACACCAATCAGGCTTTCTGGGAAAATAATAACAGAAATAACAATGGCTAGCTCTTTTTTTTTTTTTTTAAGATTTTATTTATTTATTTGACAGAGAGAGACACGGCGAGAGAGGGAACACAAGCAGGGGGAGTGGGAGAGGGAGAAGCAGGCTTCCCGTGGAGCAGGGTGCCCGAAGTGGGGCTCAATCCCAGGACCCTGGGACCATGACCTGAGCCGAAGGCAGATGCTTAACAACTGAGCCACCCAGGCGCCCCAACAATGGCTAGATCTTATTGAGTGCTTACTGTGTGCCATGCATCAGAGTAAACACTTGAAACAAATGAGCATGTCAATTTTGCATAAGGTTTTGAAGACACACCATTATCATTCCCATTCTTCAGATGAGGAAACTGAGATACTGATGTTGTGTAGCTTGCCCATGGCCTCCTAATCAGAGTGTGGTAGGATGGCAGGATTTGAACTCAGGCTGTCTTACCCCCACCCCTGGCCCTGTTACCAGCCTTCTGTGCCTTCATTTATCCCCCTCTGAGTGGCCCCCACCCACCTTGCTCTCTGCAGGTGATCTCTGGTCCAGATCATCTCTTCACCTGGGCCAACATGCCAACTGGCTAATCTGATCAGCATCCTGAGCTAATGGGGGAGGGCTAGAGGAAACCTTCCCCACCACCACCCCATAACATCCTGGACATTCTTTATTCCTACTTAACATGGGTCCAAATCAAAAGCAAAGCCATCTCATCCTAGAGATTGTCCTTGGTTTTGCCCTAAGCTTTATACAACTTCGGGTTTTTTGTTTGTTTGTTTGTTTTTAGATTTTGTTTATTTATTTGAGAGAGAGAGCGAGTGAGAGAGAGAGACAGAGCACAAGCAGAGGGAGGGAAAGGGAGAAGCAGACTCCCCGCTGAGCAGGGAGCCCGATGGCCTCAATCCCAAGACCCCAGGATGATGACCTGAGCTGAAGGCAGACGCTTACCAGACTGAGCCACCCAGGCGCCCTTTATACCATTTTATATCTCTCTTGGGACTCTTACCTCTGTCTAATAATAACCTTGTCTGTACAGCTCTTTGTAGTCTACAAAGCACTTTCTGATCCACCTGATCTACCCACCTCTTCCTAGGCTCCTTAACCACCTTCTGTAAGTGGGGCAGCACAAAGCATGGTGGTTCAGTGCCTGAGCTCTGGAGCCCACTGCCAGCATCCCAGATCTGCCACTTGCTAGCTGTGGGAGGTGGGACGAGCTGCTTACTAACTTCTCCATATCTGCTTCCTCATCTGCAAAATGGGGATAATAATAGGGCCTCTCCTGTCTGGCTGTTGTGAGGATTGAAGGAAATAAACACAGAGCAAGTGAACCCAGTAAGTGTTGCCTATTGTTCTCTCACTAGATCCTCCTCCAAACTCTAAACAAAGCAAGTCAGTGTTTGTCATCAGTGAAAAATGAGTGGAAACCAAATAATCCCTTAGCTCTCTTCCAGCCCCATCAAGCTCTGATTCTACCATGAATCACATTTATTTATGGACACATCTTAGCTCTTCTATAACTGTAACAACCTCCCCAAGGCCCAGCCTTTCACAGAGGGCCTTGTATACAGTGGGCTGTCCTGCAGGTCAG